GAGAGAGAGAGAGAGAGAGAGAGAGAGAGAGAGAGAGAGAGAGAGAGAGAGAGAAGAGAAACACATATACACACACAGGCAGAGAGAGAGACAGACAGACACACAGAGAGGCAGACAGACACACTCGCACAGAGAGAGAAACACAGAGAGAGAGAGAGAGACACACACAGACAGAGGCCAGAGAGACACACAGAGAGAGAGAGAGGCAGAGAGAGAGAGAGAGAGAGATAGATAGATAGAGAGAGAGAGAGAGAGAGAGAGAGAGAGAGAGAAGAGACACACACACACACAGAGGCTGAGAGAAAGACAGAAACAGATAGAGGCAGAGACAGAGAGAGTCAGACAGAGGCACACACACACACACACAGAGAGAGAGAAACATACACACAGAGAGAGACACACACACATACACAGAGGCAGAGAGAGAGACACACACACAGAAAGAGAGAGACAGAGAGAGAGAGACAGAGACAGAGAGAGACACACAAAGAGATCTTGTGACCCTGGGATGTTGCAACCACTGTAAGCAACTGCCAGTCGCCAAGCTCCTGAATTGTCGTCCCAAGGACGCTGCAATAGTAGTGAAGACTGTTGCTCCTTTTTCAGGGCCCTTGTTAATTTCAGACGGTGGCTAAAGTTTTAGAGTATAATTCAAGGACGAGCTTCAGTCAATATCAATATCAACCTTAATATTAGCTTATCCATTTTAACAAACCTCTCTTGTATCATTAGTCCTTTTTTTTGTATCTGCAGGTTTCTAACATCTGTTTTTATTAGCTAGTCGTTGATAAAATGTGTCCCACGTGAAAAAGTATCCAGTTTCTTCCTTTTCCTCGATTGTAAGTGTCCGTCTATCCATTTCTGCACATTCTAATATATATTTTTTAATCCCCTTTTCATTATGCAGGGATCTCTTCACTCTTCAATCGTTGTGCAAATGCAATTCTGGCTGCAGGCAACACATGTAAAATAAAATACGTTTCCCCCTTGTTATACTTTATCTGGTAGAATGCCCAACAAAAAACATCTCTCTCTCTCTTTCTCTGCAAGGACAATATCCAAGATCGGCCTCCACATCTTCGGCCGAGCCTTGTTCTTCGCAATGGGCTTCCAAGTCAAAGTCAAAGGGAAAGTCGCTAGTCCTCAAGAGGCGCCCATCTTGGTGGTCGCTCCGCACTCAAGCTTCTTCGACAGCATCGTTTGTGCCGTGGCGGGCTTGCCCTCGGTGGTGTCCAAGGAAGAGAATATCTGGGTGCCCATTTTTGGCAGTAAGTGTCCCGGCAAAACTCGAAAAAACCGACATTTTTCCCACCTTCCTGTCTCTTCACAAATTTATTTGCCACTAGGGGATAACCCGGTGTTGCCTGGGTATTTATTTATAGGGGGGAAATGTCCAGTGAAATGTAATTTCTAATGTTGGACTTTCCTCCTTGCCAGAGGGAGCCCCCTTGTGGAGTACTGTGAAGCCGTGGCAACTGTACAGTAGAAGCCATTTTACGGNCAATTTCCTAACAGTTAGAAGAATTAATCAGGGGAACAGACGTTGACTCCAGAAGTTGTGAATGCTCCAACACTGGAAGTCTTTAGGAAGATGTTGGATAGCCATTTGTCTGAAGTGGTGCAGGGTTTCCTGCCTAGGCAGGGGGTTGGACTAGAAGACCTCCAAGGTCCCTTCCAACTCTGCTATTCTATACTCTATAGTATATCTGGAGGAATAGAACTGGATGTTCCCTCCAGTTCCCTTAGGATCTTTCTGCTGAGTCAGAGAGCTGGAGAGATCCGGGGAAAAGGTGATAATCCTGGATCTCACACGCCTGCGGATTTGGTTTCTAGCATGCTTCTCTTCATCGGTTGAACTTTCTCTGGATATAAATAGAAATGGATGACATTGCAGCTGGCGTGAAACCTTAGCAGGGTTGGGAGAAAACTCCCAGGAGGCCTCAGTTGGATCTCTTAAGAGAATTTTGTGGGCAACTTCAGTGACTTATCAAAGAGCTTCCAGCGCAAGGGTTGAGATATAATGCCCATTTCCCAGAAAGCTGGTGGATGCTTGAGTCCACAAGGAAATTTCTTGACACCACATTGATGTCTCTTTTTCTCCCCTGGAACAAGTAGATGCAAAGTTTTGGACTGAAGCGGCCTGCCTTATTTTTGCTTTTTGGCCCTGTGTCCCTTTTAGTTTCTTTCGATAGAAAGAAATGCCAGAAGGACTTCTCTGGGTTACAGGTAGATTTCTGGAGATCGGGATGGGGCTGAAGATCAACACTTTGGTTTTCAGGAGGCCAGATTTCTATAAGTAAGTAAGTAAGTAAGTAAGTAAGAAGGAAGGAAGGAAGGAAGGAAGGAAGGAAGGAAGGAAGGAAGGAAGGAAGGAAGGAAGGAAGAAAGAAAGAGAAAACGAGAGAGAAAAGAAAGAGACATAAGGAAAGAGGAAAGGAAGAAAAAGAGAGAGAAAGAAAAGAAAGAGAAAGAGAGAGAGAAAAAAATAAGGAAGGAAGAAAAGAAAGAAAAGAGAGAATGAAAGGAAGAAAAAGAGAGAGAAAGAGAAAAGAAAGAGAGAAGAAAAGAGAAAGAAAGAGAGAGAGAAAGAAAAAATAAGGAAGGAAGAAAAGAAAGAAAGAAAAGAGAGAAAGAAAGAAAGGAAAAGAGAAGGAAAGAAAAACAGAAAAGAAAGGAAGGAAGGAAGGAAAGAGAAAGAGAGAGAGAGTTAGGGAAAGAAAGAAAACCTTAAATATTTAAAGATCCAATAAGATATGGATTTGGCAACACTGAGTGGAGTTTTCAGGCACAATCGTTGCAAAAGGGCTGAATTGCATAATTGCACAAATTTGTCCAAGCATCACATATCTCTGGTCAGAAAAAATCTTTTTTAAACCCTCTTTCTCCGTTTTATGCACGTATCCCATAAAGAGGATCCGATTGCTATTTAAAGGGCTGTTTATCCACCTCGTAAATGTGAATTGCTTCCCTCTTAGTTAACTATTCTGGCTTCCAGGCCTGAGTTTCCCCCTTGAAAAGTGGAGGCCGCTTCATGTCACCCCCCCCCCTTCTCTTCCCTCCCCTCCCCTCCCTCTGTTTGGACAGCCTCAAGTGGGACAGCATCCGAGAGCAGCTGGATCAATTTGCAAGGATCGCCAGCACCTCTAAAGGCGGCCGGATCGGGATCGAAGAGTTCGCTAACTATCTGAAGCTGCCGGTCTCAGATGTCTTGCAAGAGCTGTTTACGCTCTTCGACAGAGTAAGTGTGGGGTCTGCTCCTCCAAAGGGCAAAACAAACAAGCATTGTAGTGTTTGCAGAAATGAAGCTCGTGACAGAGAGAGAGAGAGAGAGAGAGAGAGAGACAGAGAGAGACAGAAAGAGAGAGAGAGAGAGAGACAGAAAGAAAGACAGAGAGAAAGAGAGAGAGACAAAGAGAAAGAAAGAGACAGACAGAAAGAAAGAGAGAGAGTGACAGAGACAGAGAGAGACAGACAGGCAGGCACACAGACACACACAGCACACACACACACACACAGCACACACAGAGCACACACACAAACACACTCAGAGAGACAGGCAGGCAGGCAGGCACACAGAGAGAGAGAGACAGAAAGAAAGACAGAGAGAAAGAGAGAGAGACAAAGAGAAAGACAGAAAGAAAGAGAGACAGAGACAGAGACAGAGACAGAGAGAGACAGACAGGCAGGCACAAAGACACACACAGCACACACACAGCACACACACAGCACACACACAAACACACTCAGAGAGACAGGCAGGCAGGCAGGCACACAGAGAGAGAGACAGAAAGAAAGACAGAGAGAAAGAGAGAGAGACAAAGAGAAAGAAAGAGACAGACAGAAAGAAAGAGAGACAGAGACAGAGAGAGACAGACAGGCAGGCACACAGACACACACAGCACACACACAGCGCGCGCGCACACACACACACACACCCAAACACACTCAGAGAGACAGGCAGGCAGGCACACAGACACACACAGCACACACACAGCANTTCTTTCTTTCTTTCTTTCTTTCTTTCTTTCTTTCTTTCTTTCTTTCTTTCTTTCTTCCCTGCATTCTAGGTAATGATTTTCCCAGAAGGGACGTGTACAAACCGATCGTGTTTGATCACATTTAAACAAGGTGAGGAAAGCTTTGCCGGATGACTTATTTTGGGAAAGCAGAAGGAACAGTTCAGGATGTATGTCAGACATTTCAAAGCTTGTTATGGGTGTGTTAGGGTTTCCTGTTTCCTATTACCGTAATGTAGGTGAGCAGTAAAGCACATGGTGTCTGTACTGTTTGTTTCCTCTGTGTTGGTTCTTTATACTGTATAAATGGAATTTCTAATAGGACGCCATGAGGGAAAGAGAGAATGAGGGATTGGGTCAAATTAAAAAAATGGCCTCTTTTGTGAGCCATTGGGGAACTTTTTTGTCACATTTATTTTATTTTGAGTTTAAATAGATATTATTTACTTTCTGCAAATGCTGGAATTCCAAGCTAACGATGCAGGAACCTTCAAACACATTGCTTTTATTTTCAGGAGCTTTTATTCCTGGGGTTTCTGTTCAGCCCGTGATTATTCGCTACCCCAACAAGTTGGTAAGTCTTGAATTTAGACCGAAGGAGATTCCTTCTTGAAATTCCTCTGGTCACTTTGGACAAAAGGGAAAATTAGCGCAGTTGTACAGGTGCCTCACGACAAGTTACTTTGCAAACACTTCCAAATTACAACGGACCCACCTTGACCCAGATTCAAAGTCCCAGACCCAATTCAAGCCTTTGGCAACACAACTACATTTTTGGGATGTTGTTCGAAGTATCCTGCGCTCATCTGATGGTGTTTTACGACAATTGTACCGAAACCAGTCTCCTCCAGTTTTTCAGCCAAACCATATCCATAGCGAATCATTGGTTCCCTTAATGACCGGGGTGTTTGCTTAATGACTGCCATAAAAACAGTTGTAAAATTTGAATTGGACTTGTTTTGCAACCATCCGGACTTAAGATAGTGATGGACAGGCTCAATTACGGTTGTAAGTTGAGCACTAATTCTAAGTAAGTTAGGAAAGAAATGAAATGTAAAAAGTTCAGTGGAGAAGTCATGTTTGCCCCCTTTCAAAGTATGGGAGCATTTCCTTCCGTCACACACCGACTGTTGATTCTGATTTAAATTATAATTCTAGCATCACTGAAAACGTACGTTTTTGATACACTGCCTCCTTCTGCAGAGACTGCTGTGGCTCAGAGCCTCCCTTAAAACGAGTTTCGTTTTGCATTAAATTTATTTCAAGGGATAAGAGAATTTTGGAGAAATTCGGTGTGCGTCCTTGACTTATTTAGTGGATGCAACATGAAATGGAGTGGCTTGATTTTGGGCAGTGGAGTCAAAAGTATGTTTGCGTGAATGTCTTTCGTTCTGGCATTGCTTCCCCAGGCATTTCCAGCCTCCCTGACATCTGACATTAAAATTAAAATTCTGATATTAAAATTCAGTCCACTGCAGACCACGTCAGGAATGTATCTGTTCTGGCTGAGAGACTCCTGTCTGTTTTTTTAAAAAAAATGGTTTCCCCCCATCTTTGTCCCTTGAATAATTCTGCAAAATTACCCACCCAATTTTTTTGCCCTTAGATTTGGTGGAGACTTTCAAAAGCTGTTTCTGGTTGCTTTTATTCCCAATAAACAACCACACCATTCTTCACTTCCCGGCCTCCAGCTTGCTACTGAAAAACCTTGACTTCCCAGCTGTGATTTGTTTTGTGATCGCATCTTATTGTCGAGTTAAATTATCTCTCTCTTTTTTCCCCCTTTCATTTAATTCCTCCAGGATACTGTGACATGGACCTGGCAGGGAAACAGCTTGTAAGTCAAATCCTCGGAAGAGAAATGCACTTTCTAAAAACTTATTTGTGTTAGGCAGTGTCTGTTAGGCACAACGGTTTTGAGCATTGTTGCATTTTAAGAATTGTTACACAGATCAAAGGATTTGTGGTGGCAACTGGTAATAAATGATAATGATGAAGCTGGTGATCCTCCTTCTCCTCCTCCCTCCTCCATCCCCTCCCCTTCTTTCCCTTCCTCTCCTTCCCTCTTCCCCCTCTTCCTCCTCTTCCTCCTCCCTCCTCCTCCTTCTCTTCCTCCTCCCTCTCCCCTCCTTCCCCCTCCCTCTTCCCCTCCTCCTCCTCCTTCTCTTCTTCTTCTTCCTCCCCCTCCTCCTTCTAACTCCTTCTAGCATTGATGATGTTACCTAGTTGGGTCATGAAATGTCTGCAACAAAACCACCAAAAGCTCAGAGAGCATCAAGGATGACTTCTCCTCCTCCTGCTCCTCCTCCTCCCTCCTCCTGCTTCCCTTTCTCCTTCTTCTCTTCCGCCTCTTCCATCCCCTCCCCATTATAATCTGGGGTACAAGAACAGATCAGAATTTCTGTTGTTAATCATTGTGGTTGTAAATGGAGGCAACCACGTGACCAGGCCCTCCTGTTTAATCACTTTTACAACCGTTGTTAAGAGCCGAGGGGGCGCAGTGGTTAGGGTGCAGTACTGCAGGCNGGAGGAGGAGGAACAAGCGGCGGTGGTGGCAGCAGTGGTGGTGGCAAAGGGGTCAATGTTATGGGTCTTCTCGGAGGTCTCGTGAACATCATCAGTGAAGCCGCAGCCCAGTACAAACCAGAGCCCCCGCCAGCTCCTCGCAGCCATTTTGCCAACGTGGAAGCCAACGAAAGCGAGGAACTTCGCCAGTTCCGACGGCTCTTCGCCCAACTGGCGGGCGAGGACATGGAAGTCTCCGCCACCGAGCTGATGAACATCCTCAACAAGGTGATATCCCGCCATCAGGACCTGCAATCTGAAAGCTTCAGCCTGGACACTTGCCGAAGCATGGTGGCCGTCATGGACAGCGATGCCACCGGCAAGCTGGACTTCTACCAGTTCAGGTATCTCTGGAACAACATCAAGAAGTGGCAGTGCTCCTTCAAAGAGTACGCCGGCCCGGCAGGGAGAATCGAGATGAGGAACCTGCCCGACGCTTTCAAGGCCGCCGGGTTTAACCTCCATGAGCAGCTCTACGCCCTGATGATACGCCGCTACGCCGACGAAGACGGCAGCATGGATTTCAACAACTTCATCAGCTGCTTGGTCCGCCTGGATGGAATGTTCCGGGCCTTCAAATCCCTGGACCGAAGTGGGGATGGGAAAGTCCAGATGAACATCGAAGAGTGGTTGCAGCTGACCATGTACTCTTAAAACAAGCAAAGGGGCGGGAAGACGAAGCAGTGGTTTGCTCCACCTTGGACTGTACCATGTATGGGGGGGTTTGAGGGAGGTGGGCTGGATGGAAAATGGCTCCTGCCAAGCAATTAAACCTTCCTGCTTACAGTGAGTGGCTTTTTGGCTGATAGAACCTCTGGGTTTATTGAGATTAGCCAATGCATATATATATTTTTAAAGAACATTTGCTTATTGCTTATGTTTTGGGTGGTTGTTTGTGGCTGTGCCTGAATACTGCAATAATATTAAGGTTGCAAGCTCATGTTAGCCATGTTGGAAGTGCGTGGGAACCTGTGGGTTATTTCAGGGGCAACTAGGAGGAAAACCCACTCTTTCGTTGCAAAATAAAAGATACCTTACGGGTCTCCTTACGTTAGTCCCTACGTTGTGCAAAACGGAGCAACTGTTGTTATCGTTACTCCAAATTCTTCCCCTCCCTGCTTTAGGAAAGAGTGTTTTGATCTCCTTTCCTTATTTCCTTTCCAATAGTGTTCTTATCTTCTCCTCCTAAATTGATATTCAGGGATTTTGAGTCCCGCCGGGAATAGGGCGGCATATAAATAAAATAAATAAATGAACCTTGATTTTTAAGCCTTGGATAATCCCTGGTCTGGGTTAAGGTAGTCCTCCTTGTGCTTCTCAAAAGCCTGAGACTGACTTTTAATTTGCAGATGTGTGTATAGTTGAAGATCAGCATGGTCCTCTGATCATGGATCCTAAATTCCTTTTCGAAGGAATAAGATTATGCTCTCCCAACCCATTGCCCTTTAGGTTCCGTATATCTATGTGTCCATCGTAGTCCATAATGGTCACTTGGGGGTGATGGACAGAGTCCTCTGGGAGAGTTGGAAAACAACTCATAGTGTAAACCTAGTGCAACGTAGAGCTTCTGGATTAGGATGTTCTGTGTTTCTTTGCCGAGTGCTGATTCGTCGAAGGAAGGAATCGTGGCAAAAATAGATCCTTTCTGACTTGTCCGTTGTAAATCTCACTCAGTTGTAAAGGAGAGAAAATAAACTTGGATTATGACAAAAAGAGAATGCTGTGGGTTTGTTCGTTTGATTGTTTCGTAGCTGCGTGGCTCAAAGTGGCAGGGAGTAATATATACTTTGCTTTACTATACCTTTCTTTTTTTCCATAAAGGAATCCTGCTTTATAACTCTTGACCCTCTTAAACTGTCAGCATTTGTGGCCGGTGGAGAAATGAGGCCCCTAGATTAAACTTGGTTATTTGTTTTCGACCTGGAAAAAAAAATACTTTAGATGTGGTTGTCCTTGTGGTGACTTGAACAGGTCCAAAGGGGACATTTCTACCTCCTCCTGACACGGATCCTAACCTTGTCCTGAGTAAATCCCGTTGACGTCTCAACATGTGCTTTCTTTGTTCCTTTTCACCGATTTTGACGGGCCCTGTGACTCACATCTGTGCCATTGTGTTGACTTGGTTTAGGGCTTTTCCCGTGGCGGTTGAGTGTCTTGTGTGAACCTGCCTTCGTGCCTTCTTGTGCCAACCCTAGTTGGACAAACTCAAGTTGAGATAAAATGAGAACCAGCAGCTCCAAACCAGCTCGGAGGAAGAGGGCATTTTCTCATTGCTTGCTCCGTGGCAGCTGTGACAGCTGTGCCTCTCCTTGGCCAAAAGTCTCCGAGGATAATTTACTATTCCAGAAAAGTTCCTTGTTTTAGTTGAGGAGCCCAACTGGGAACCTTTCTAGATTGTGGACAGCCAGATCCTGCAGCTGCAGATCTTGTTAAGACTCTGAATGTTCAGGAATATTATTATTATTTTTAAAAATCCTTCCTCCTGGTTCTCCCTAGGATCACGTCATTCTCTCTGGCCATTGAAGTCATCCATCCATTCATCCATTCATCTATCTATCCATCCATCCATCCATCCATCCCTCCCTCCCTCCCTCCCTCCCTCCC